AAAATGATGTTATCTCTTGTTGTTACTCACCACACAGTGCCATGCCTTGCGTCACCTGTCTTTCCGTGCTGTTGGACACACATCCAGCTCCGTGTCACCACTTCCCTGGCAGAAGAGATTTCATATCAAAACCCATTTTTTTCTGTTGAACTTCCTAATACTAGAGGTGTTTTGCAAATAGTTCAACAGCCAGTCTTGGCTAGGTATAAGACAAACAGTCTCCCTGCAGGAGCTGGCCTCTGCCATTATCCCATACATGATTACTGGCCCAACAGGAGCACCAAGGGCCAGCTGGTTTGTGGCACTTGAATGCTGGAATTAGACACTAAATACCAAGGGCTTGAGAAGTCCCCGTGTTAATGTTAATGGTGTTTGCCTTCTGGAATGAGTTATGCTTCAACTCGCTTAAACAGTTTTGAGCATTTTTCCTCATTCATTGGCATTGACATTTTTCTCCTTTTAATAAACAGGTTTCTCCTTCCAGCCAGGTTTATGAATAATTATGTTTCAATTCAAGTCTAAAACACCTCATTTATATCACAGTGCTACACAAGCCCTCTGGGGTTGGCTGTGGAGCTGAGTTATACACAGATACTGGAATTCTGGTTTTGTAGCCAGTAATTCTAGTAAAAGTTAGAGGTGATTTACATGGGAGGAAGTCTGGCAAAAAAAAGTAAGTCAATAGTGAGAAAACATCAAAGGCCATAACATCCACCCCCTTCCTCATGGCACCATAGAAGGACACTGTATACTTTTTCCCCCTTGAAAGCAACAGCAGGAAGTTATAGAATCATAGAATCAACTTGGTTGGAAAAGACCTTTAAGATGATCCAGTCCAACCGTTCCCCAGCACTGCCAAGGCCACCACTAACCCATGGTACTGAGGGCCTCATGCATAGCACTTCCAGGGACGGTGACTCCAGCACTGCCCTGGGCTGCCTGTTCCAATGCCTGAGCACCCTCTTGGTGAAGAAACTTTTCCTAGTATCAAGTCTAAACCTCCCCTTGTGCAGCTTGAGGCCATTTTCTCTTGTCTTGTTACTTGGGAGAAGAGACTGACCCCACCTCATTACAACCTCTCAGGCAGTTGTAGAGAGTGATAAGGTACCCCCTGAACCTTCTCTTCTCCAGACTGAGTCCCCCCAGGTCCCTCAGCTGTTCCCCATCACACTTGGGCTCCAGGCGCTGCACCAGCTCCATTGCCCTTCTCTGGACCCACTCCAGCACCTCAATGACTCTCTTGTAGTCAGGGGCCCAGAACTGAACACAGAGCCCGAGGTGCGCCCTCACTGGTGCCCAGTACATGGGCACAATCACTGCCCTTACCCTGATGTCAGACTGGTGCTGATTCAGGCCAGGATGCCTCTGGCCGCCTTGGCCACCTGGGCACAAGCTGGCTCACATTCAGTGGCCATTAACCAGCACCCCCAGGTCCTTTCCCACCGAGCATCCTTCCAGCCACTCAGAACGGCTCAAGTTGGAAACCACCTTAAGCTCACCCAGTTCCAACCCCCTGCCACGGACAGGGACACCGTCCACCACACCAGGCTGCTCCAAGCCCCGTCCGACCCGGACCGCACACCCCTCGCTGCTGCCACCGCACAGGCCAGGCTCCTGCACCGCCACACCAAGCCCCGCGGTCCCTGCCTCCCCCCCCGCCGCCGCTGCCCACCACCCTGCACCCGTCCCCAGGCCGCGGCTCGGCGGGCGGCGGGCGGCTCCGTACCTCGCACCCGCCGGGGCGCTGAGGGGCGCCGCCGCCTCCCGGCCCCTTCCCGCCTCGCTCCCCTCACAGCCGCCCGCCGCCGTTGCCAGCTCAGGCGCGCCGCGGTGCCCCGTTGCCAAGGCGGCGGCGGGCAGCAATGGCGGCCGCGGAGCGGCGCTGAGGGGGAAAGCCGAAGGGGAGGGGGGCGTCCGGCCGGGGCCTGGGGGCCCTCGGACCTTCAGGTGAGTGCCCGCAGGGGCCGGTTGGCGGTGAGGGTGGGCAGCCGCAGGCCTGGTGGTGCGGGGCAGGCCGTGTGAGGCGGGGCGAGAGGGGCCGGGGTAGAGCCGGCGGGTTGTGAGGGTTGAACTCGGCCTCCGGGCGCGCCTGGGCAAGGAACGCAAGTGCGGGGCAGTGCGGGTAATGCAAGCCCAGCTAAAGAAGGAGGGTACAGCAGGAGCGGCACCACAGAGCTGCTGTGCTTCAGATTCCCGAAGGAAATACTCCACGCTAGACATCAGCACCCTCCCTTGTGCTTGACGCCTCCCTCAGAGGAGAGGAGGCTGGAAGTTGCCTCACTTTGTGTTCCTGCATGGTCAGACAAACAAGTCCTTACAATGTAAGTACAGAGCAGGTCAATGCTAGCTCTGCCCATTTCAACTAGTTTCTCTCCCATTAAAGCCAGTCTCCTCCACAAGCCACCCATCCCTCTGAGTCGCAACCCAAGAAAAATCAGCTAACACCAGATCTACCCCTTACCTGGCTTTAATGGGGTGCTCAGCACTTCAGGCTCATGGGACTGGTCGCTCACCCTGTTCTTTGATCCTGGGCACAGCAGCACCTTCTCACCAGCAGCCCAGAGCCTGGTGTGGAGCAGCCTCTGTCCCAGCAGGTGTTGCTCAGACACCTGATTGCCAGGTACTGGCTGGCCCCAAGGGCTGCCTGCTGCTGCTGCTGCTCCTGGCCATTGGGGCTCTATTACATCCAGTCTGGATGAATACTGAAGTGTTTGGAAGAGGAGAGACTGAGATTAGATATTAGGCAGAAGCTCTCCCCTGTGAGGGTGCTGAGGCACTGGCACAGGGTGCCCAGAGAAGCTGTGGCTGCCCCATCCCTGGCAGTGTTCAAGACCAGATTGGACAGGGCTTGGAGCAAGCTGCTCTAGTGGAAGGTGACCCTGCCCATGGCAGGGGGTTGAATCCGAATGAGCTTTAAGCTCCCCTCCAGCCCAAACCAGTCTGGGATTCTGCGATTCTATGACTGGAAGTTGCAAGGCAACCTGAAAAGAATTCACATCCCATCCACCCACCGACTCATCAATCCATCCATCTTGAGTATCCAGCTATAACCTCAGGAATGTTCTTACAGTGATCAGGGCTGGGCCAGGTTTCCCAAAGGGCTGTATCTCAACACGACATCAGAATCGGCTCAGTTCAGACAGGAGGTGCCATGGAAACTGGTGTCACTCAGCACTAAGCTGTGACCTCTGCCCAAGGCGAAGCGTTTCTTGAGGGCTGACACCAAGAAGGGCTCAAGAGAAAACTCAGCATTACAGGCTATTCATTAAACTGGAATTCAGTTTTAGGAAGATTTTGCTTCATCATTCCTATTAAACATTAGTTACAGCCAAAAATCCAGTGCAATTATTCATATAAAGCTGTAAATATAGCATGACACTGTTACCACATTGGTTTCTTTTATACTGGCACATAAGGCTCATGCTTATCTCTGTGGCCAGCAGGCAAATGGATTAAATTTAGAAAGTGCTAAGCTATTTTCTCTCACTAAAGATAAAACACATGAAAATTTCCTTTACTGGTTTGTGAATAGTGATAATTAAAGGAATGTTTTCAACTTGAAATGTTTCAACTGAAAAATGTTGAAAACTTTTTAAAAAAGGAGTTCCAAGAGCTTCCAGCAGCAGCAGTCAGGCACCATAGTCACTGAGTGAGAGCACTGGTGACCAGACCTTCCCTCTCCAGCAGCATACCTTGATGAAAGCTTTGTGCGAAAACAAGGATCTGACTGAAATGATTTTCTTAATAGTAGGTGTACCAGGAAAAGGATTAATCTAAATTTGAAATGAGTTCATGCTCTCAACCAAAACAATGATACAAGCTGGCAGAATGAAGGTAGCGATTCTGCTGATGTTTGTCAACAGATAAAATTGTTGCTAAGCAGATTCTACAAGCTTGGGATTTATGATTATAGCTTCATGAAGCCCTCCCGAGAGGATGACTGTCTCAAAGCCACATTAACAATCCCTCATTTTTCATTAAAACAGCTGTTACAGGTTAAATAACAAAAACTCTATTAAAGTACGTACAGTTGGTAGTATTTACTTAACGACAATCTGCAAGATGCTGCAGTGATATTTTCATTATAGAAGCCTGTTTTACTTGCTTGTAACTTCACCTGACTGGGTAGAGCTTTCTAATCCCACCTGTTTTATTTGGATTCTGTTACTGTAGAAAATTCTAATAGAACTTGATCCAGTCACTTTCATATTAACTGTCACAGTTAAAATGTTATGGTTGTTTTCATGTAAATTGTTGGTTCTTAAAGCTTTGAAGCAAAGACTTTAAACTGGGTAGGATCTTGCTGGTGGCTGAATTGTGATAACAACATACCCCATCACTGTAATGGAGATATTTTTACTCATGCTTATGGAAATGAATTTGTTACTGTGTGTGAAGTATTAAAGTAATACCATGATAAACATCTCAGAAGCACCAGAAAAAACTGATCTGGCTGAATTGGGGCTAAAGCTGTAATGGAGTGTAATACAGTGCTCTGTGAGCAAAAAGGAAAGCACGCAGTAAGTGTAAGGTGTGTTGTCAGTCTGACGTCCTGAACGAGTTGAAGGTTGTGGGGAACAAGTAACACCTAATCACATACTTATTTCACTCTGGCTTCACACTTGTTTTGCAAGTGTGTCATCTCACCCTCTGGAAAACACAGCACTCTAGGACATCCTGATTCTGGATGCTTGTACTTCAGAGACTGCCATGTTTGTACAAGAGGTAGCACTAGCACTGTTCTGAATCACAAGGGTAATCTATAAAATCCACATGCACTGAATATTATCTCCATTTGTGCCTTCATCTAATGTTGCTGACAGGTTTTACTAGCTGCAATGCTGCTTACATTCTATAGCATTACTAGCCCATTTCCATGGAGAATGTAACTTCTTCAGTGTTTGCAGCTTCAGGAGGGGGAGAAAGAAGGGAAGAAAAGGCAAGTGTTGATCCTAAAGGAGTTCCCAAAAAAATGATGTGTGATTTCCAGCTGTAAATAATGACTAACAGTTGGAAGAAAGGATCCAGCTTTTGAAAGTAAACCCAAGTTCGTTACTGATGTGGGGTGGTGGGAAATACAAGAAGAATATGAGAGAACATTTAAGCTTGTCAGCTTGTCACCTGGGGGAACCTTTTTCCAGGCCAGTGCCCCATTGTCCGCATCTTTGTCTTTTCCTGAAGAGTGTTTGCTGCAGAGAAATACAGTTTACTCTGTTACGTACATAGTGCAGCAGGAAGTTCATGAATCAGCTACCAAAAAAGGAAGGTGCTCAGATACTGATGAGGTGATGCTAGTATCAGTTTTATGTTTCAGCAAGTACAGAGAACAGTGTGACTTGTGATTTTTTTCTCTTTGTAGTACTAAAATGACAGATGTTCAGCCTCCCCTTAAGCTTCCAAGTAATTGCAGATTGTAACAGTTCCTTGAATGGAAAGCACTTACCTTACAGTTTGTTAACTTAATTTTCACCTTCAGTGAGACTTCTTCATAACAGTTTGAAGATTAGAAAGGACAATTTTGCAAAGTGCTATATGTGTTTATATAGTCTCTACATATGCTGTGTATACTAAATGAGAGAAATTCACTCAAAGCTTAGTGCTCTGTTAAGTTAAAGTGGATATTTTCATGCCTTGAATGTAGTTTGATTCCTGTTCTAACTGGTGTGTAATTATAATCTCATCTCTGAGTTTACATTTTTTCTTCTTTCTCTATGTAGGAATTACTTCCTTCAAATAAGCCGTTTTATCTTATTCCAGGATGTTACCAGTAGATATCAGACTTCGAAACTTACAGGTGTACAAACTTCTTCAGTGTGTTCACCAAAAAGACAAGAAGCAAATAGAAAAGCTGGTCCAGAATGGATTCCCAAATCTCATTAATTTCACAGAGCCTATGGAAGGATATAGTGCCCTTCAGTTGGCCTGCATTAAAAATGACGTTGACATGTGCAGCTTCTTGCTGGAGCAAGGAGCTCATCCAGATGTCCAGGACAAAATGGGACGTACTGCAGCAATGAAGGCAGCTGAGTTAGGCCTGGAGTTCATTTTGGATATATTAGTAAAAGCTAAAGCGGACATGACTGTTGCGGATAATGAAGGGAAAGGTCAGTAAAAGGCAACCTTATCAGACCAGAAATACCATCAAATGACCCCTTACTGTGTTCCACACTTGCTACGTATGTTGTGTGCCATCCATAGAGGGGAGCCATAGTTGAGGGTAATCCTTACAGCTCAGCAGAAGCTATGCCATAAGAGCTTTGATGGAAATAATTCTCCCTGAGCAGTCTATGCCTAGAAGTCTATGCCTTTAGGTCTCTCTAGTGCTTATCTGAAAGATAACTTGTGACAGATGATCATGTTCTTCCCATGACCTGTCATACTAAATTGTGATTTACTCCCAGAAGTTCAAAGGCCCTATCTAAACTAGAAGTCTTTTTTGCATGTATGTACCCTCAGAGAAGTGAACGGGTCTCTGCTGAAGGATTTTGTCTGTTCAGCTGTGAAGCCCACAGCCTAAGTAACCTTTCTACTAATTTAGTGTTGCACCATAATCCTTGCTGGTTTTCTTTGCAGGTATTTTGTTTTACTGCCTTTTACCAACAACACGGCACTACCACTGCACGCAAATTGCCTTGGATGCTGGTGCAGATGTTAACAACTGTACCACTGATGGGAAGCCTGTATTTCTGCAAGCCTGTGAGCAAGCTCATGATATTAAAGAAATATGTCTGAATTTCATGGAAAGAGGAGCAAATCCCAGTGCAGGAAACCCAGTATGAATATTTCTGTAACTAAGAACATATATAGAGAAGTGTAGAATAGTTACCAGATGACCATAGAACCTTAAATGCTCACATTAAAATGATAAAGCAGTGACAAGTGCTTAGCTCTGTGGCCATGCCTGTTCCCTTCTTCTGCATCACCCTTTTTGCAGGAGCAGGGATTTAAGTCTTCTGCTTGAACCACATATCCTGAGTTAGATTTCTGTAGATTAGAGTGCAGTTATTTTACAAACATAAAGTGTAACTGGGCCATCTCTTAGGAGCTGCAGTTGACTGCACTTCAGCGGTGCAGGGCTGATTGGTACTTTGCTTCCGCGTGCTCTAAGGTTTTCAGAGTTGAAATAATGCTCACTAGAAGGTGAGTCTAGCATGAAAAACCTGATGGGGGTCAAGGCAGGAATGAGCCATAAGAAACTATTTTCATTCTTTTGTATGTCCTAGTCATTTATTTGTTTATTTCCTTAATTTAACAAAGACCTGAAGGATGGGAGCTCTGTGCTGTTGATTGAGTCAAAGATCTCAAGCTTTCCCTTAAAGCCACCCATGGCTTTTGCTTTGGTCCTGGTTTTGTAGTTATACTTCCTAGCTTGTAGCTATAGAAAACCCAGTGTTTAGACATCCTTCTCCCATCCTCACACACATCTCCAGGCACTCCATGTACCTACAATATGAGAAACCTGCTTTTATTTTTGTAATATGATGGGCACATACCTGATCACATAACAGGAATGATTTGCTAGAAAGACAGGTAGCAGGGAAGTTCAGTGGGACAATATCCATGGCTCATTGCTCTCTTTGCCGCTCTGTAGAGTAGCAAGTCAGATATTCTGTGTTGCTGTGGGCCAGTATAATAATAGCAGGCAATCCCTGACCTGAGATGTGCTCTGTTCTTGGGAAGGTCACCAGATCTACCTAAGTCAGCCATTATGAAGAACATAGGTACTGCTGATCACAAGCATACTATTATCTAGAAATACATATATAAAAATATATTAGAATGGAAACTTTTCCTCACACAACAGCAGTGAAATCCCCCAGTTGCTCTGCCTTCCCTCTAGCACTCCTCCAGCCATAGCTCCTTATGCTTTTTTAATGATACAGATAGGATTTTGTGTTGTTTTGTAAACATGCACGAAAGCATGTTTACACATACACGCAGATTAAAGGATTCCTTAACGAAGGAATTGATTGTCATGAGGACTGTTCAAGAGACTTAAGCTACTAATATATCTATGTCACAGGGATTTGTCTACTCATGTTTTAGCAGCAGCATAGTTAGATTCTCAAAGTTTACCTACAGGCATCTTGGAAACTGTTAGTCTGGTCTCCTTTTTATGGTAATACCTAAAAGGAAACCTTCAGTTTTATGCCACCTTGCAACAAGCACATCATACTGTTCCAACCTGAATTAGCATAGGAAACAAACTGAATGGCTTTCTTGCTACCTTACAGGCTACAGGGCGCACGGTCTTAATGGAAGCTGTAAGAGAAGGTGTTCTCGAGCTGGTGCGCGGTCTGCTTGAGAGAGGAGCTGATGTTAACCGGTTCGACTTCGAAAGACAAAGTGCTGCACATTTTGCAGCCAAAGGAGGCTTTTTTGAGGTATCACTATTTGTGGTGGTAAAGCATTGTTGCAATGCCAAACCTGAGGTGTTTTTTTTGTTTGTTTGGTTTTTTTGGCTTGGGTGGGATTAGGTTTTTTTTGAGTCCAGTATCTGAGCTGATCAAAGCCATCAAAATCAGCTTCTTTTTAAATATCAAAGGGAATCCAGCAGTGACAGAATCTCTCTCATAATTGCAGAGCCTTTTTTGCCAAGGTATCTCCCAAGTGTGCTAGTGTGGCTGGCTGGTGTGAGCAGCTCTGTTGGAGACCTTGTTTCTCTCAACATGCAGCATGTCACAGCTGTGTAACTTAGATGAAACATTACCATTACAAGAGGAACAGATGCAAATGGCTGCAGTTAGACAGTTTCTTCCTTATTGCCCAAATAGTCTTCAAAGTACATAAAATTACACAGTTTTGATTGTGCATGGATTGTCAGAGTTACTTTAAGACAGTAGCCTGCAGGGAGGTGACAGGAACGAAGATTGTCTTTGGTATTTACAACAGAACAAGGTTTCTATTTCCTTCGTGAAATAAGCAGAGTACTACAGAAAACATGGAACGTTGCATGTACATTTATTAGCTGGGCTCGGGAGAAACCTTCACCAAATAAACTGAGATTATATGATACAAATATTTGTAAATCATTCTCACACTTCCCTATCTTAAGGAACACACCAGATTTTGGTGGTATTGTCTGTTTTTCTAGATTCTGAGGGTTATTTCAGCTTATAATGGAGACGTGGGCCTGATCGATATGAATGGTAACACGCCGCTTCATTATGCTGCAGAGGGAGGATTTGCAAATTGCTGCAAGTTCATAGGACAAAGAGGTACATTAAAAATAAGTTACTTTGTAACTATCATGTGCATTCTATTTCTTTGCTAAAGGGAAGATTTGATTTGGGCATCTATGAAGGATTTGACTCTTGGGTATCATGCGGCAAATGTAATTCTCCTTAAGAAGTGCCTAACATAGGCTATTGCGATTTATTTATACACGTGGCTGAGATAAAACATTTCTCAAAGGAAGTGGCAGAAACGTCATGGCTTTGTATAACTCAGAACTGGACTGTCTTAAGGGGTTCTGCTTTTAGCTGGGTTTACATGTATTGCATTGAAACTTCCAACAGAAAAGTAATTTTTGGTTTGCTGATCATTAAACAAGATAAATCTCTGTAGTCATAGGGAAAACTTCATGCCATGGGTATTCAAACATACTACAAAGCAGCTGTGACCGTATTCTAACTTAAGCAGATGATCATAGCACTTCAAAAGGACCATGCAAAATCCTGCATTCTGTTCTTGTGAGTCAAACATTCAGCTAGTGATCCAGTGTCAGATTGCAAGGTTGGGGTATAGAACACTGAGTGATACTTTAGTCTTTGTTTCTTCTTAACCTTTCTCACCAGTTAAAAAATGTAGTTTCCACTGAATTTCTGCCTTTCTATACATATCATGAATGGATGGATAAGTAAAGCATGTGTTGCCCCATGAACCTCCCTTTGGAAAACAAATCTTCTATCACCATTTGTAGTTAAAACAGTATAAAATTGGAGACCTGTGGCAATTAGTTGCATATATAGTACAAGTCTCTTATATACATAATTACATAATTAATTATGGATTTTCTATATAATTAGAAATTCCACTGTATTACCAGCAAAATTGTGTCCATATTTTTAGGCTGCGATCCTACATGGATAAACTTGGCAAAAAAGACACCAAGAGCCATCGCCAAGGATGGTGGTTTTAAAGCAGCAGTATCAGAATTGCGTAAAATTGAGAAGACCTTTGCAAAACAGTCCAAGACTGAGGATAATGAGGAAAACCCCCAGTGGGCTGTGAGGCTGTATGACTGGTCCTTAGAGCACCAGGCTGCCCTCCGCCAGGCGTTGGAGGCTGTCGACCAAGGAGATGGGAAGGTGACTAAAGAGAGTTTTATAGCCCTTATCCAGCAGCACTGCTCCTTTGTGGACACTGAACAACTAGAAGCTATTGCTGAAATGCATGAAGGACATCAGGCTGATGGAATCGGCATTGAAGACTTTTTTAAAGGCTCTAAATACTTGCCAAAAAACTATCTTATCACATCCTACGGACCCAAAGGGAAGAAGAGGAAGAAAGGGAAGAAACGAAGAGGCAAAAAAGGCATCCCTGTCCCCGTGCCAATTTGTGTTATGCCAAAGGGCGCATGTCCCCTTAGAGAAGATGGTTTCCCTGTGTACATGGTTGAGGCTATCCAAAATCTTGCTGAGATCTCCCATTTTAACCGAGACCACCCATCTGCCCATCCCGTGCATGATGACCGTGCCTGGTACATAGATGAGCCAAGGAAAACATACATGAACATTAACTACCTTGTCAGAGAAGCAGACTTTCCATCTCTGCAGAAAGCATTTGACGAGGGTGTGCACGTAGACATAAAAGATCAATATTACAAAACACCTTTGATGGTTGCGTGTGCAAGTGGGAACATAGTTCTTGTGCAATATCTTCTGGAAAAGGGGTAAGATTGTTTCAGAGATCTTTTTTTAAATTGCTATTTTGGAGAGGCTTTCAAAAGCAAAAATTTCCAGCAAACATTTGGATGCAACAGACCATGGTTTGGTTTTTATTTATATAACTTTTAATATTAAAGTTAGTTCTATAGGATCCTGAGTCACAGAGGGTTAGTTTATTATTTCTCACATTATTAACAGGGAAATAGAAACATCCAAGAGGTAAGTTCCCGAGGTTTGAAGGTTTTGAGTGTCTGGGCTGTTAGCATTTTGATCAGAGGCAGAGTGCCAGTCACAGTTGCAGTCTCTAATGGTGCATCCTCAAAACTCAACTCTCAAAAGCAGATGAATGGTTTTTGGGAAATCTGGTTCAAGTGACTCACCTGAAATGAGCAAGGCAATCTTGGATAAAGATGCAAGAGTTAGTGAATAAATCTATCAAATTAGTCTCCACTACTTTTGTCAAGCCTCACAAGACAGCACTGGAGTCACATCTCATGTTTAACAGCCCTAGAAATGTAATAGTCTTTTAAAATAGTATCAGTTTTGAGGGTTTTAAATTGACAGAAGTCAGAACACGGAGGGGAGAGTTATCAGGACAGTGTTTAGCTTTGCATCTTTCAGTAGCGTGGACTTTCAGGTACTTTCAATTTGCCATTGGAGTGTAAATACTCTTTACAATATAACCTCTTCCATACAGTATCACAAATCCATATTGAATAGAAACAAAGCATTTATCCATAGCTATGGACAACACTGAAGTTTAAACATAAACTGGTGATATCTACTTTCTGTCTTGTTCCAGAAAGACTCAGAAGTAAATTAAATTTGGGCTTAAGGCAAATTCAGTGTTTCATCAGGAAAAAATACTAAGTTAGTGCTATGTTGTTGCTGTTCCCTTTGATTGGTTTGTTTCTGATAGAATAAGGTTAGGAAAAAGGAATGGTACAGGCATGGAGGGGGGTCGGGAGTATTGGTACAGGGGCAGGGTATTGGTACAGGCATGGAGGATGGGTCAGGAGAGAAAGTGGAGTAACTGCATGTTATAATGAGAAGTACAAAGGCACTGAACGATGCATACAAATAAACCATAAGGGCTGAGCAACTGAAAGATAACAAAGGCAAAACTGGTAGGTGTGGGGAATTACTGGGATAACATCTCACCAAAAGCAGAATACTGAAAAATGTTAAAATTGAGTAAAGAAAACCAGATGAATCTGTTGTTTTGATCTAGAAGTAAATATTAACCATCTGACCTGAAGAACAATGAGCTATCCCTGGAAGCAACTCCATAATTTTCTTCCTTTTCATTCCTTCCATGTCTTTTGGGAAGATGTCAGTACTTTGTCCCTAGAGCCAATGGAACAGTGACCCTAACTCAGTTCAGGCTGTCTTCACTACAAGGCACAAGTAATTCACTCTGCTTGACTACTGGGGAATCCCCCCATGAGGCTTTGGCCCATTCTGAACCCACACATGGCACACAGATCTGGGCATGGGCATGGTCTGTGCTCTCTTCAGAGATGTGGGGGAACAGTATTTCTTTCCTTTTAGCACCTTTAAGAGGCTCTTGTGGCTGTGGTTCCCCAAGCCTTGCTTTTGCATGACCCCATCCCAAAAGCTTCCAAGGCAGCAAGTTGCTAAAGGACTGATAGTGCTTTTCCTCTCAGCTTCATCCAAAGGCAGCAGATTGCAAATATCAAATCCAAACTAGCCCTTGCATCCTTCAGGACATGTCAGTTTTAGCCTGGGAACAGAAACAGATCTGTAGTCCAGCAACAGAGTGGCTGAAAAAGTTCTAAAGGCTCAGATTTTGAGAGACTTTCTCTAACTCACTAAATTGGCAATTTTTCCACCTGCTCTTGGCCCAAAAGCATTCTTTTATGAATTCCTTAATCTGTTTTTTGTCATTATCAGTGAAGCTGAAGCACAAACACAAGCAGCATTTTAAAGGACTATGGTGTTTGAATGCCTATTTTCCTCTGTACCTGTGAAAACCTCCATGTAAAGGACACTGTGTTGGCTAAGAGGGGGATGTGATGACCACCCAGGTATATGCTGACAATTAATATTCCATGACAGCCATACATTGATACTAAAATGGCTTCAGAATAGCAGTAGCAATGTGAAAACATTTATTCACATTGAATATGCCATTGCAGGGGCAGTTAACATTGCTTGTTTTGACATTCCTGTATCAAGTACATAGCTTCGTCTGCCACTTCTCATATTCTTTTGTAGGGCTGATGTAAATGCAACAGACAATTTCATGTGGACTCCTCTCCATCATGCTTGCTATAATGGACACCTCGATATTGCCAAACTGATAGTGAAGGCTGGAGCAGCAGTGGATGCACCCTCAATGGGCAATGCAACCCCACTAATGAGAGCCATTGAGAACTCCAGACTGGATATTGTCTATTTTTTACTTGAAGAGGGTGCAGATGTCCAAGCTACAAACAGCAATGGTAAATACCAACATCCCCAAAACAGGCCCACTTCCTTACATGTATCCATGTTTTATTAAAAAGCCCCAAACAAAACTAAGTTCTTGGAATGCTTTGAGAAGTGTTCTGAATTTATGATCACTGTCAGGACCAGGATGAAGGTAAGAGGCACAATTAGTTTTCTGCAGTGAGGAATCACTATTGTAAGTAGTCAGCTTTCCTGGGTTTTATGCCTCTAGAAAATAAAGTAACATGATTAATTACATGATTAAGAAGTCTGTTGCTCCTCACAAGATATATACAGTTATAAGTGGCTTTAATGAATAAAATCTATCTACTTTTTAATATTATTTGATGGAAAATTAGATTTCAGTCGTGGCCAGTGTATACTCTGCCGCCCATTTAAATAATTTAGTTTTTATGCACAGGCAGCACAGGTTAAAATATTTCTTGCTGCTTAGCATGTAAATATTACTCTCTGAGAAAGAGTACTCAACAGAAAAACAAATCACATTGATACTGCAGTGTTACCTCCTCACAGCAGATCCCTCATGCAGTGTTATTTCCTCTCTTTTTGGAGTAAATTAAACAGCATTTGTCACATTTTAAGCTGTTGCTCTAACAGAGGAAGCAACATTGCTACATAATGAGATTTTCCTTGCCAAAATGCCTACTAGGTGAAACCCTGCTTGTAGAAAGTATGTGTATTCCTTATTTCTGTGTTGTTCTAATTCACACAGCAGTTTAGACTCACAACTACTTTACAGCCACAGCATCTCCACATCAAGATCTGGAAGAGTTTGTCCTCTATTAAGCCCTGAAGGTTTTCAGCCCCATTTAAACCATGGGGCTTTCCCTTGACTCCTTGCCAGCCACAGAGCAAGTACTGGAAGAAATAGAGACCTACAGTAACCTGGTCTACATTCCTAACCTTGTACTGTGCTAGCCATCTCCTAGTGTTAAATGCTCTCAGAAGTCAAAATTGCAACCTGTAGGACCAGTATATTAAGCTGCGAATGTCAGGACATTAAGAGCAAAGTTACCACTCCAAGAATTCCTGCAATACTTGGTTTCAAAGCTCATTTCTGTAAGGTTTCATTTCTGGCAAACAGTGCAGATGCCTGCCAGTCTTCACATGATGTCAGGCATGCTGCTGGCACACTGAATGGTTAATAAGACAGAGGCCTAATTAAATTCAGTTGACTGTGGTTTCATTATCCAGTTGAAATAGCAAAGGACTGAGGTTCATTTTCATGGCTTATGCAAGTATTTATTTTTTTAAATATAGGAAAAAATCCTCTTGATATTGCTAAAGTATTTGCAGATTCTAGAATAATTGATCTGCTCCAGAATAAGCTGGACAATTTGCCAGAAGTACCAGAAAAGAAAGAAAAAGCTGTGAAACCAAAGGCATCTTCTACACCAAAGCCTGCAGAGGAACAAGCAGCAAAAAGAGAGGTATGAAAAATAGTGACAAAGGATTGACTTGCTAATAGTTAGTAGAACGTTGCTTCCTTTCATTTGTTTGCCATCCATGTCTCTCTAAAGCTATAAATCATGCAGTTTTGTTAAAGTATTTTCAGAAGCCAGGACTTGTTCTTGCCAGTACTATTACTTGTTCATTGGTTGAAATTTTGACACATTAATTATATGAACTTCATGTCTTTCACAGTCCACTTAAGAATTGTATCCTGTATCACTGATGGGATACAGAAAAATATTTCTTCTTTTCCCCCTCCTCCTGAAGTTTATGATCATCCAGCTCTGTTGTAAATAGCAAGCAACTTGTAAGCTTAATTTCCTCAAGGGAGCACTTGTTTCTTCACAGATAAGGCCAAGGCCCTTCAAATTAGTAGAAAGGTCTTTTTATTTTGCTAACAGAACTCAGTTAGGCAATATTGGGCTCACTGACTTCTCATTTCCCATCTTGTCTCTTAACCTGCCTTTTCTACTGCTGACACAAGCCCTGTTTTTTAAACTCCACACTGAGTTTGGCTGTTATACTACTGAATGCTTTTACAGCATACCCAGGAGCCTCAAGTACCTTGCCATTGCCCTAGTTCAAGCAGATACAGCCTCTGTGACCACATCCTGGTTATCTTACAGTGGATGAGATCTTGATTTACCAGTGGTACTTGTTAGTCAAACCCAGGATGCCACCATTTAGGGAAAAAATGCAATTGTAGCTACACTGCTGGAAGTGTCCTTCAGCAGTCCTGCCCTGGATGATGTGTTAAGTATTTCCCAGTAGCCAAATGTTGGTTTCCCCCTTTCAGAGATAATTTGAATGTCAGGGATAGTGTAGGACTTAGTTAGGCAGAAGGAGGACAATTGTAGATGCTAATTTAGCCATGACCTGGCACAAGAAGGGATCACCAGTGGCACTAGGTGGTTGTCTCAAGTCTTGAAGAGCAGTGAATGTTTTAGTGTCCAAGAAGGACAGTCATCCTCTTTGAGTCATAATTTTTGGATATAAAATAAATAGCAGCTTTAAGAAAAATAGATTCTGAACAGATTAAGAAAAATACACCCACAGTAGATAGAAAACAGAAGTATCTGAAGATTTAGGATGTGTACCTTGCTTCTGGGCATGATGTATAGCTGGTAACTTCTCTTTCAGTCTTCACAGGTATTGCTGGCAGATGAGGAAACATCCATTCTTGAAAAGGCAGCACAACCCTTTAAGGACAGTGTTACTTATCTGAATTCTCTGATAGCCAGTGGTGCTACCAAGAAAGAGGACATCACATTCAAACCCAGAAAAGTATGTACAGTAGCAAAACATGAGCATGGTTTCATATTAAGGGAAAGGTAGACCTTGCTGTAGATCAAAACCCAGAATAATCTGATGAAACAACTTCACAATTCAACTAGCTGCTTGTAGATGACATGACACAGGCTAGAGAGACTGCCATAGAACAACAGTAAACTAAAGAGTCCGCATATGTTTATGTGTATTTTACATATATACACATATTTATATAAAACAAATTATCATGGAAAGCAAGTCCTTACCAGGTTTTAAAATAGGATTAAATTGGACCCACAGTAAAATTACAAATGCCACTATGTTTATTGTATGGATTTTTACATTCCTGCTCTTAAAGGATAGGAGTCCTTGCGCATGGGACCAGCACCAACTTCTAACTTGCCTTGTCAATTAGTTATCCCATGATTGCTTAAGTGACATTTGCTGATCTGAATGGATCACTAAATATTTACTTTGTTGAGTTAGAATACTGAAAATATAATTTTTATATGAGGGACTTGTTAATACTCATTCAAGAATAACCAAAAAGCAGAGAAAGATGACCACAGCGAAGTAATATTGTTTTTTTTTCCCCTCTGCTTAAAAAGAAGAACACCATCATTGCTGACTGAGCAGTTTTGTTTAGAGGTTATTTACCATTTCCCTAAGCCTGATTTGTGCCAGTTTCTGCAATGGTCTCAGGGGGAATAAGGCTACATCATCAGTGACTCTATGACTAATTACTGTTTTCCACTCTGAGGATCTTGGGCCCGAGTCAGTCATTCTGAACAATTAGCTTTGGGTTATCTTTCCTACATTATCCCTCATCTGAGCCTATGGCATGTTAGAGATTGGCAGCAACAAGAGAATGTTCTGCTTATATGTACACAAATTGTTGTGGTATCTTCCGCCAGGAGGCCACACCATTTTTCTTCTATGTCTCAGGATGGAAAGGAGTGCTAGAACACACCTCTATTTGGCTCACAGTATCATCTTCATACCTCACTTGCAGTCTAAAATAACTACAAATATCTTTATTTTGTAGATTTGGGCCCCTGAAGCCGCAACAGAGGAGTTAGTAAGGAAGTATGAATGGCTCCGTGAGTGCTCTGCTTTTGATGGCTTGTCAGAAAGCCCTGCAACCCCCTTTGATAGAAAACTGCAGAATAAGCACACCAGCCGGAAGAAGCTACTTCAGCATAGATTTTGAGGGGGTAAATATCAAAAAGGCTACTCCTCTGCAAGGAAGGAATCATGCAGTGCTCAGTAAATGCATCTTAGTTACAATAAAAAAAAGAAAAAGGTTGTAGCAAGTTTTTCCTCTAGGTTATGTTGCTCACATATAATCTCTTGTTAGGGGCTTAGTCTGGAAAAAGGTTTATCCTCATGCAATTCTAAGTCTTGGAGCTAGCTCAGCATATTTCATGGAATGGCTGCTGTTAGGACACACGTGTCCTTTATCTTTTTATCCCTTTAAAGGTATGGCTTTAGGAGGCTGTTTTTCACCCCAACATAAAACATATTCCTGGAAGATACATTACTCTTTGTACTAAAAAACTATTAAATATGAAGATGAAGATAGCATTCAGTAATTGCTTAAGACAACAATGTTCTTTGTTGTCTGCAGAGGCAACAGAGTACAGAATTTACAACCAGGACTACTATAGTCTAGTGTACTGCTTCATATTCTCCCATGCACTTGGAAGAGTGTACAAGCCTTTTTCCTTACGCACTGAAGATGTATCTCAAAGCTCTGCAAAGCTTTTACCCAGACGGGCAGATCTTTGTGGCAAACTTGAAAAACATGCAGAGATTTTGTGAATGGATGCTGAAGAGGAACTCTTCATCAGGAACTGTAGTGAAAGGACAGGAAGGGGTGATGGGTTTAAACTGAAACAGGGAAGTTCAGATTAGATGCAAGAAGTAGTTTTTTACTGTGAGGGTGGTGAGGCACTGGAACAGGCTGCCCAAAGAAGTGGTAAATGCTCCATCCCTGGAAGTGTTTAAAGCCATACCAGTTGGACAGAGCCTTGGGTGACATGATCTAGTGGGAGGTGTCCCTGCCCATGGCAGGGGGTTGGAACTGGATGATCCTAAGGTCCTTTTCCAACCCAAACCATTGTATGAATGTAGGTTCTTACATTAACAGCTACATCCACAGCCAGTCCAAATCAGTGCTTGCCTCCACAACAGATGTTGTCCCTTTTGTTATTTAGTGAGTTCTTAGGTTGAGAAGAATTGGTGTCTTAGAAATTAAATGACCAGGCAGCCATAATTTATTATGTAGAATAGGTACTGAAAGTTCATTTGGGGAAGCGTATAATGTAGAGATTCATGTGATGGGGTAAGAGTTCTGCTGAGAGAACTCTTTTGCTCTTCACACGTCTTGAATTCTGTTGAGTTCATCCACAAAGCAGTTGGCAGCACAAAACCAAGATCGGTTTGGATCTTCAAAAAGGCAGGAGGTACAAGTAAGTACAAGTACAAGCACAAGGTACAAGTTCTCGATAAGCGGAGTCTGGAAGTACTGGTAATTTTTAACTTAGGGAAGAAATAAGTGGAAGGGAATACCATAAAATACATCTAAAGAAGGAAAAAGCATGGAGAAGTGAACCGAAACCTCCTGTCTGTTCTTTCACAGGATACAAGAGCAGTCAGACTAAGAATAAAAAACCAGCACACATTCAATACTCCACAGTGTGTAAATAGCCTGTGGAGCCCTCTAGCCCAATACCCTTGGAAACTTAATATTTACATAGATTGTGAGAAGAGTCTAGTTAGCTAATGCATAAGGAATATAAAACTCCTGCATGGTTCAGGACCTCTGCTAATTACTGTTGGTGCATGCTAAAGTTTTCTAGCAATGCAGTTCACTCCCCAGTTCTCCAGTGTGGTGATGTGCATGTCCCACAGAAGAGAGGATGACACTGACCTAGACAGACACTGTAAATTACATCAGATCAGCTTCTAGGTTGATAGTACCATTGTTCAAACTCACTTTAATGCTGGGAGAGCTGTCTGGCTCAGGAGTACAGCTACTTTAGAGAATTTGTTCTCAAACATACTCTACTTTTTTTCCCCAGAATCTGAGCTTCAAACTGGGTTCTTTCCTTCTGGGTCATAATTTCTTGTAGGAAAACCAAGTTTTGTTGCTGGGGAAAGCCTGTGCAGTCACATTCTCAAAGCCACCACCACTGCATGCATGACTCCAGCTCCACATCTAAATGTAAATGTGGTATTTATTGCATAACCAATACAAATACAAAGCAAGTAGTTCTATCTAGTGAGATACTATATTCAAATACCACCGCTGAACATATTATGTATATGGACATGGTTGTGCATGAGTAGTTTATGACAAGTTGCTTACATTGAGAAAACACCCCAGTCTGTCTAGCATTTTAATAGTTCAGTATAAAGACAGACTTCACAGGCAAGTGAGATACCATTTCACATTTCAGCTGCCTTGGAATTCTTAATATCAGCGTATCATCTTTGCCTGTCAGCATAAAGCTTCTGCTGGCTGCAGATGACTGTCAATAACAAAAATAATAGTGTGTGTTAGTCATAGAAGGCAGTGCAGGCAAGGAGCACGATGCCCAGGAACAATTGTAAATTAAACTGAAAGAAGGAGGCATGGGGTCAATTTGCTAAACAGTAGCCATCAAAACAGTCAAGGAGAGCAGTCAAACTCCTAACTCATCCCATGAGGTGAAACTGTTTCAGGTGGTTACGTCATAGAGATTAACTCTTTGCTGTTAAAACCAGCTGCTCAGCTCTCCTCTATGGAAGCACCACAGAGGTGCTCCTCACTTGGGTAACTACTGCACGTTGAGGTACAGACTTTTCTGCTGGCTGTGTTCATTTGGGAAGCTATAAGCAAATGCAGAACTTGAATGCAAAGGGAAAAGGTTAACCTGGCCAGCAGAAGGGTCTGCTCCTGCTCCAGTTTGGATCACGCTGTAGAATTAAGCTTGTTGGCAAGCAGCCTTTAAAAGAGAGCACATGGAGATGGGGCTGTTTCCTATTCCCGTAGGAAATGCTTATGAGTGCTATCCTCGTGCTTTTTCCTCCCAGCCAGCATGGGCTGCAAACTCTCAGTCTTTACATGCTGTCCCACAAAAAAGAAAGGAAAGAGCTGCACATCTTCTGTACACAATGCAATAGCTGAGTAAAAAGGAATATTTGTGCTCCTTTGGGCTTCTCCATAGCAGGCTGCCCAAAGAGTTGGCAGACCCATCTCAATCTACCACCGCAGCTCCCACCCAGTCCTCAGCCCAGGGCTGGCTTTCTGCAGGAGCAGACATGAGAGAAAATGACAGAAGAGATGATTTGAAGCATCACCACTTGTGACATTTTTGGAGGACTGAGTGTAAGTACCTAACACTGACTAATGGTGGTTTTGTAACTAACAACCAATCTAGAAATCCAGAGCTCAGAAAACATTTTGGCATGAATAGCCAGCTCATTCAAGTCCTGATGACACAGAAACATCAGAGCAAACCAAGGGGGATGGCTGGACTCAAGTCCTCCTCAAGAGTGGCAATGAGGATGTGTTTACAGACTTCTCCATGTGCACCAGAAGTGGGGTAGGAGAGTGTTGCATGAAGCAGTGATAGCAGAGTAGGAGGTTTTTAGGGATGTGAAAGCAGATGTCACAAAGGGATTGAAGGGATACAACTCCTGAGGTTAAAAATGACATTAGCAGAAGGAAGGGTATTCAGCAAAGAGCTGGAAGGGAAGACTGTACTAATGGAATGGTTATGGAAAAGCTTTGTGATGATTTGGTGGATGGTGTTAAAGGGTACAGAGCGAGAGACCTTGGTAACAGCAAAGCACCATTCTCGCAGGTGAGAGAGCCCTTGGGAAAGCTGAATCAATTGTGTGTCAGCAAATGTGCCAAGAACATGGAAATTTGCAGGTGGGAGTTCAAACACATTATAACTATGACTCAGTCTCTTGAGACAGGTAGCACAAGTGAAAAATGAATCGAAGGGAGAAACCAGAGTTAAGCAGAGAGGGCAGCAGCACTGGAAGGAAAGATGAACTGCACATCTATACTGGTTCAGACTAGATGAGTTGTATACTAGCTCTGGTTCAAACCAGGCTGTAATTCAACCTTACTCACCTTTTGGGATTTGCCTTTAAAGTTCAAGACACTTGTGAAGTCTTCAAGTATTGTTTCAAACTCAGGTAAGTACCTTGGACTAGCTGCTGTTGGCATCTGGAAGTGCTTCAGGTACCACTCCAGTGCAGAGCACAGGCAATTACATTTCTCATCCCCCTGTTTTCAACGTGTGCTATTTTAAGTTCACTTGCAAAACACATGATTTAGTTAGGGCTGAGTATTGCTGTTGCAGATACCACTACAGCACACATTAATGTGCTGAGCCCAGCTCTTTAAACAGAGTGTTTTTAAAGGCTCCTCATTATGTAGCAAGAGCCAGTGCTGAACAGCAGACTAAATTCATCAGATACTACAGGACACAATAGTGACTTCACTAGAGGTATTTAATGGACAAGATCTCAATGAACGATCAGCTGCTTCAGGCCTTTCTTGTATTTTAATTAAGAAAAGGCCACTTCACCATTGGGGTCCTTCTTTCTCACAGCTGGATTCATGCACACTTCAGCCCCCATTTCATCCACACCCCCACCACAGCAGTACACACATTTGTGCCCAGAACACAAACATGCACAACATGTCCCTTTGTGCAGTTTTCCTCTGTCTCTGAGGCTTCTGTAAGCCCCTATATAGTTTCACCAGTTGCCTCTACTATCACTGTTGATCTAGGAGGGAGAAGTGATCAGTTACCTTATGCTAAGCAAAGAGTACAACAAATCATCACTTTCATGACAACAGCTTCAGTGAAGGCCACAGAATAAGATACATTTGACAAGACATGCTCCCACCTTTGTCTTCAGATTATCTTACAGGCTTCCTACACCCAGCACATGTATTTTTCCCCACTTTACCATATGTTTGGTGACATACATATTTGTGGCTGAAATAGAAGGATTTTGCTCCACTTTTAATGCATTTCCCATTCACAACTGGTGTTTCTATGGAAGGCAAATTGCAAAATAATATTGTTCCAGTCACAGCAATCAATACCCTCGTGCTAATACAAACCAGATGATACCAAGTGGAATTCTTGAGCTGCTCTAAGCACAGTGGGGATAGTAAATACAGTTACAGCTTGGGGCTTTTGAATGGCTCCCAAATAGCCCAGCTTATCAATTGTTTGCAATTGAGCCCAGGAAATCTAATTTAGCCTTACTACTGCTAC